AAACAAACATCTTCAGAAAGCGTGGCATTTATCATCAGAAGAGGAGGTTGGGTCTTGGTGCTCATATAAAAATTCACTGGAGGCCCTTTCTATGGGAGACTGGGAGGGACTGGGCTACTCTGCCTAAGTCTCTGTCTCAAGGTTACAAGGACAAATGTCACTGAGCTGTCTAGGGGACAATTGTCTAGGGCTCTAGGGAAGAAGAAGAGCAGGAGGAGATATCACAGAAATGGAGTCAGGTAGAACTGAATTCAAATTGCCATATGTCTGTCACCTACTGGCTATATGACCTTGGACAAGTGACCTTGGACAATGAGCTCTAGTGAAGATGGTAACAGTGATAATGTGAGCTTTGCTTGGGGAAGAGGAATGGTGTGTGTGTGTGTGTGTGTGTGTGTGTGTGTGTGTGTGTGTAAGCAGAATTGTTACCCAGACTACTCACACAGAGAAAGCACTTTCAGCCCAGTACCCTTTTCATGGGAAGTGCTTGGTACCTTGTAGGTGACTTTATGTCAGTTTACACCTAGAATTTCTTTTCTTGCCTTGACCCTTGCTTCTACACCTATTCTGGACCCCATCTGAATCTCTGGTCCATTACCCTATGGTCCATATACTTGCATCTCCACCTTGTCAAGGGCAGGGTCACCCAGCCCAAGCTATTTTACAACACAGGAGGTGTGATAAGCCAGAGGGCCTGGAACTACTTATGTGGGACTGCTGGGAGGGAAATTAGCTTTTCTGCTTCTTGCCTTTGCTATGGACCACTGGGGCTTTCTCAACTACCCATTTTACCCTACTCAGCTCAGTTCCTTTTTCACAAAGAAACACGGAAGTGAGAAGATGGGTGGCCTCAGGGCAAGGGCTGGCTGGCTGGGTGGGGTTGGGAAGCACCTCCTACTCCCAACTGAGACAACTTTGGAGGGCAGGGTTGGATAGACAGGGAGGAAACAGTTGCTATTGAATCTTTCATATTTCTACTTTTTTTTTTTTGCATCAAGAGTGCCCAACCACTGATTTGAGGAAGTGACCAGTGAGTTGGTAAAATTCACTGCTGACATGGTTTAGCTGGGTGAAGAGTAACCAGCCTTGCCCCTTCTGTGGTCTCAGCCCATGAAGACCTGGAACCAGCTGGCTGGCAAATGAGAGAAGACTGGCTTAGTTATAAATTTTTAGATGGACCATTTAGACTCTTTCCATATGTATATATCTATCATCCATGCTCTTTCCTATTCCACAAAAAGATATAAAGCATGAAGAAATGTACCTCAATGCCATCATCATCACTGTTGTTACAGCTGCATGACCTCATGCAGCTCTTTTTGGGCTTCAGTTTCCTCATCAGAGGCAGTAAAGGAGTGACAGAAGCACACAGTGAAAGCCAGGGAGGAGGTAGAAGAGAGCTGAGTCAGGATTCTGGGGATTTAATCCCACCTCTGGCCCCAACACACAATGTGACTGACCTTGGGCAAGTCCCTTCCTATTTCTTGGCTGCTGTTGATGTTTCTCTATCTGTATACTGAAAGGACTGAACCTGCTTTTTGTTTTGTTTGTTTGTTTAGTCATGGAGCTGCTAGTCAGGACTGGCTATAGAATTTGCAGGGCTCCGTGCAAAATGAAAATGTGGGGCCCCTTGTTAAAAACCTATTAAAAAATTTCAAGACAGTGACAGTAGAGCATTAAATCAAGGATGGGCCCTTCTAAGCACAAGGTCTTGTGCGACTGCCAAGGTAGATGACCCATGAAACTGACTTGCAAACTACTTGCAATACAATTCAATGGGAAGTCCATATGAGCTGCTTTTGGCTAGAGCTCTTTCCGTGACAGAGCTTTCCTTGTGGCATTTCTGAGGAAGTTTGGGCTCTAGAGAGCATAGCTGGAAAAACACAAATTACTTACTCAAAAGCCTGTCTAGCGTTGATGATTTATATATAAAATTTAGGTCCCAAACCTTTTCCTTACCTATCCCCAAAGATGAGGCAATTGTTGAAGTCACATAGGATAAATAATAGCATTATCATCTCTTGTCTGTGTGGCTACCTGGCTTACAGGGTACTGTCACATCCAGATTTTACGGGCCGCTCATTGTAACCTCATGAGGCAGGTGGTACAGGTCATTTACAGGAGGAATAACTGAAAACCAGAGAAGTGAAAGGACTTGCCCAAAGTCACACAGCTGGCACAACTGGTACTGGAACCCTAGAATCATAACTCCTAGGAAAAGGGGCTTTTCCACATGGCCTGATCCACAGTGGCAATCAGCAAGCAAGGTTTTTAAATTTTTTTTAAAGCCCCATCCTCCAGCGTAAGGGACCAGAGCCCAAGGGGGCATTTATCTATCTTCAGTTCACAGTGATGTCTCAAATGCTTCTTCATATATTAGCCATGTTGTATGTGTCCTGGATGTTTCCTTGCTTGATCCAGAGGGCAGCCCTTGAAGCAGGATGATCATTGTACTGGCCATCTGGGGCTTAGGAAGGGAGGAGAGAGAGTGACTGCAGTCTTCTCTGCAGCCATGCTTCTGAGGCAGGGTTTCTCAATTCTAAGATGATGGATTGGAAGGGGCAGTTAAGTTATGGGGAGGAGACAAGGCAGAGCACTAGGTCTTGCACTGAAGGGAGGAAAGGGGGTCATGCGAGCCACCTTGGGCTGAAAGTCTTATGAGTGGGTCTTGATCAGGCACCCAGGGCCTTCCTGAATCCCAGGAGCAAGTGTTGGGGCCTAAAAGTAAAGGCCTGGGTAGGAAGGACCTGGGGAAGCAATATAGTCTGGAGAACATAAGTTGGGTCTGAGTCCCAGTTCACCAGCTGTGTGATCCTGGTTGAGCCTGTTTTTTTTTCTCCATAAAATGGTAGGAGGCATACCATTTGCCCTTTTCTGGAAGTGAGTTCTAGAGTCCACTGACTGGTTCAAATCCTGTTTTTAAAATTTCCTTTATGAGTGACCTTGAGTGAGTTGGTTCATCTTTGTGAGCCTCTCTGATATAATGGGAACAATAAAAGCTCCTTCTCGTAGGTCGTCGGGACTAAGTGAGAAAATGCAATAATGTACACTTAAACACTAAAAGAATTCATGTAAACCTCAGTGTACTGTACATACTAAACACTCAGTAGATAGTAGTGATGATGATGATGATGATGATGATCATCATCATCATCATCATGGTTATGCCTTTAGTTATATTATTAGTAGCTGTTTTCATGGGGTGAACATATAAGGGAGCAAATGACTCAGCTAACCGAGACCCACTGTTGGCTGCTAGAAGCTCTCAATGAGGATGGCTCAGAACTGTGGCCTTTGGATGCAAGCATCAGTATTGATAACTGTCACAGGCCACCCTGAGACTCGGCAAACTAGGTCTGATAGTCCCAGGCCAGGGGACTCCTCTGCCTGGTGCCTTTGCCCAGCACTCTGCCCCAGAGACTTGGTTCTCTCCAACTTCTGACTGTGCTCCTCTGAGCAAAGGTGGTGGTCCCAACTTTCTTGGACCATATTTGACAAATCTGCCAGTGTAGGGCTCCCTCCATCCCCTCCACAAGGTTCCATGACCTTTAGCACAGGAGATAGTTGGCTGGGTGTGGCATGCTTGTGAATACAAGAACACTAGCACATGTACATGTACACATGCTCACGGGCACATTTTCAAGCACATGTGCTCCACAACCAAGCTTCTGGGAGCCTCACAGCCCTGCCCCCATCTCACCCTCTCCCCTTCCTCTCCCACCACAAAAGCCACAGGTAACAACAGTCCCCAGCAACACAGCAGACACGATGCAAAACACAGAAGCAGGCTTCGTTGCCAGGCTGTTTTAAGCATCTAGCAGGATGTGAGCCCAGGTGGCTAACGGCTGGGTTGATTGGAGAAAACTCTTTCCTCCTAATAACAGTGGGTAGAGTGAACCAGGAGGGGGCTGGGAGGTAGGCTAAGGGATTCTGCATGGTGGTAAAATGTAAAAGAGCTGAACTGCTGGCCAATTCTGTTCTCACTATGCCCCAACCAAACACTGTGTGTCCTTTGGCAGGTCCCACCCTGTCTGGAGCTCATTTTCCTATCTGTAAAATGGGTAACCAGACACTGGCTATACAGGTTAATGTTCATCCAAGGATGCTGGAGCATTTAACAGTATTGTCACTGTGGGTGCACTTTGGAAAGTTAAAAGGGCTCCCATGTGCTAGGGAATCTGGGGTAGTGATTTGGGATTGTTGCTCAGGCTGTTTCCAAGTTCTGGTAGGGCCATATTCTTGAGGGCTCCTTGTATTCCTTCCTACCTCATGGCCAAATTCTTATAGCTTAACTCCCTATCTTGTCACTTGGCATGGAGCCCACCCAGGGTTGAGTAATGATGGGTTCACATGATGGTTGGGGTGGTGGTGTACGTACCCTTTCCTTGGTTGTTCTCCCTGACCTTGGGGTGTCAATGTACAACCAGAGGACTCAGCTGCCCTCCCTTCCTCTCCCTCAATAGGCAAAGCAAGGAGCCTAGAGGTATCTCTCGTTCCTTCAGCCTATGGGCGGAAGCCAGGAGGCCATTGTAGGACTAGGGACAGGTGGAGGTGGCCACAGGCAGCCTCAAGGGCATGGGGCAAGGAGTCAGGAGGCAGTGTGAGTGGGAAAAGCTCTGGTTATATCAGCAGGTGGTGATAAGGTAGGGTTTTCTCAGGGCCATTGAATCCCTAGGGGTAGAGGAACTGCCTTATATTGTTTTTTTTTCCCAGGGGGTGGGTGGGGGGCAGCAGCAACAGGTTCTATCACATTATAGGTTAAGCCTACTGGGCTTACAGGAGGAAAGGAAGTAGCTGGCTCTCCTATCACCAGGCTGGGGTTTGGTAACCAAGTGTGAGGTGTATAAGCCCAGAGGGGGTCTGCCTTAGGCTTGGTCCTGGAGAAGGAGGCTGAGAGCAAAGGTTTCCAGGCAATGAGCTAGTAGGAGGTCTTGGGGCATGGGTGGTACAGGGTGAGGGAAACTGAGTCAGAGTCAACAGGGGAGTCCTGGGCCTCTAGACACTCTAGCTGAGGATGGTAAGAGTGGAGACTACCAACAGAGAGAACAAGGAGGTGGTGTGTGGGGCCTTTGCGGACAGGGGCTCTGTGTGCTGCTGCAGCCATGCTAACTCCTCCAGCATCTGGCGCCGCTCCAGCTCTGGGCCCACCTTCTCTCGGATGGTCTGGTAGTAGTGGTTCAGGTACTGGAGCTGCAAAGGGTAAGAGGATGAGGGTTTCTTCAGGGTAAACTTCTAAGAGGTAAGGTCTTGGTGCCATCCAGTCCCTTGCTGTGGTAGTTCAGCTTCCCATAAGGACCCATAGATCCCATAGGACCCCAGCTGTCATCAGGCCACAGGAATCCTCTGGAGCTTTTCAGAGGTACTTTCCCACAGTGGCTGTTTAATGTCATAGTGACTTTCATGGGGTGGGTGGGGAGAGTGGGTTTCAGGCCCAGGGATGAGAGTAAGTAGAGCAAGCATTAGTATTCCATTTTATAGAAGAGGGGCCTGTGGCCCAGAGAGGGGAAGGGATTAATGGCAGAGTCCAGAGACCCAGTCTCAAACTCCCCAGGAATTTACTACCTGGGGTTGGGGCAGCTGGTCTGCCTGGAGAGTTCTAGAAGTTCTCTCTGGTGAGTGGGAGAGGAATAGCCCAGTGTAGGCCTCCAGGTGCCTTCAGTGTGGGCCCTCCCAGAAAAGGGGAAGGGGCCAAAGGTCTTGGGATAGGGAAAGTAGAGGTGAGAAAGGCTCAGGGTGGAGGAAAGGGCAGGCAGTGGTTCAGAAGCTGAAGGGTAGACAGTGCTGAGAGGCACTCACCTGCTCAGGGGACAGCAGGTTGATGTCAATGAGGTTCTTGTCGTAGGGCACCAAGGACACCACTTCAAAGGCCAGGTAGGTTCCTGGGTACTGGGAGGCCACAGGGAAGGTGAGAAAGCAAGAAGTGAACAAGGAGGAAGAGCTAGGCTGAAGGAAGGGCTGGAACACTCCACTCAGAGGCCACAGGCACAGAAACTGACCCTTGTTAGACCTAAGACTCAGGGGAGGCCTGAGCCTCCCACGGTGTCCTTGGCCACCCACTTCTCTACCACTTAGCGCCTTGCCTTTCCTGCTTCTCTGCTGGTTCCTAAATTTAGACTTAGGTCTGTATTTCTCAAAGTGTTTACATGTACACAGTGCCTAGGGAGCTTTTTAAATGTGTACATTCTGGGGCCCTTCCCCCAGATCACTAGAGTAAGACTCTGTGGGGCAGAGCTGAGAACCTACATTTAAATAACTTTAAGATAAGTATTAGGTTTTTCTATCTATCTAATCTCTATTTGTATCTATATATCTTTATCTATCTATATTTCTATCTATGTATATATTGATGGATCTATCTATAGAGGTAAGTATAAAGAAGAAAAAATAGCCTAGAGAGCTCTTGCATGTTTGTGCTTAAAAAATTCAAACCACAAAAAGATATTCAATAAAAATGGAAGTCTCCTCCCCGACTGTTTTCCTTCTGAAAACATTTTAGGCATATACAGTATATAAATGTATATATTTTAAAAATTCGTGCAAAATTGATTCTATCATACACTTTTCTGCACATTCTTTCCCCCACACCATCTCAATAGTAAACTAGAGAACACTCCATATTAGCACAGAGAGATACATCTCATTTTTTTAAGAGTTATGTAAATTCCATAGTATGTGGATGATGATTAATTAAACCAGTAATGCATATTTAGGCTTTTTTCACTCTTTAAATTTTTGCCATTGATACTGCAATCATCATTGTATATAAACATCTTGGTGACCTTTTGGAACTATATCCAGAAGATATATATCTGGCAGAGGGAATGCTGATAACAAAAGACACAGGCATTTAAAAAAGAATTTTGAAAGATATTGTCAAACTGCCCTCCAGAAAGTTTGTACCAATTTGTACTTCCCCCAGCAGTTTATGGGAGTGCCTGTTTCCTCACAAACTCACCAGCACTGTGTGTCATCAGTCTCTCATTTTTGTCAATCGGATAGGTGAAACATGGTATTCTATTGTTTTGATCTGTATTTATTTAAGAATTAAGTTGAGCATCTTTTCACATTTATGGACCATCTATCTGTGCTGATCTTAGTAACCTGTTTCTTCATGTCCTTTGCCCATTTTTTCTGTTTTCCCTATTTTCATCTTATTGATTTGTAAAAGCTCATGGTAGAAGGACATCCACCTTTTCTTTGACATATGTGCTGTATTTGTCATACATCTTTTGACTATTTATGGTATTGTTTCCATATAGACATCTTTTAATTTTAATCAGAATTACCGATCTTTTTCTTCATGGCTTTCGGGTCTTGCACAGAGAGTCCCTTTTCCACTGTAGAACTATAAATGAATTCATATAGGTTTTTTTCTAGATCTTTTATGGTTTCACGTTTAAACCTTGGTCCATTTGGAATTTTATTTTGGTGTAATAATGAAAATTTTAGCTTAATCCCTAGACCCAAATTAGTCATTTGTTCTCCCTTCCATTTATTAAACAATCTCTCTCTTCTTTACTGTTTTGAAATGCCAGCTCTATTGTAAACTAAATTCTCATTTCATTTATAGATATTAGAGGATCTATTCCTGGACTACTTCTTGTGTTCTACTGTTACATCTGTCTCTCCCATCTCCAGTGTCAAAATGTTTTAGTTATGGTAGCTTCATATCCAAAAGGGCTAGTTTCCCTTATTGCTCTCCCCCGCCCCTGAATTTTCCTAGCTATGTAGCTATCTTTACATGTTTATTTTTAGAAATAAACTTTACTATCATTTTGTGAAGTTATAAAAGCACCAGTTAACACTGCTGAAATTGAGGTTGGCTTGTATGTACAGATTAACTTAGAGAGAAATGACCTCATTATAATGTTGAAGCTTCTTTCCAGAGAGTATAATTTAGTTAAATCTTTTTTTTTTTTTATGTTCTTCAGTAGAGATTTTCTCCATGTAAGTCTTTTTAAGTTTGTATCTAAGTATTTTATTTTGTTGGTTGCCATTATACAGAATCTTTACTTCTAACAAGTTCCCCTGGTGGTTATTATATGCACTGAAAACCAATAATTTAGAGCAAGAATACTGATTTATTTGGTCTGGAGTAAGACCTGGGCATTGGCATTTAAAAAAAAAAAAAACTCTTCAGGTGATTCTAATATTCTAATGTGCAAACAGGTTTGAGAAACTCTGATTTATGAAATTTTTCTGGTTCTGGTGCTAAGGAAGACTTAGCACCAAATTAATTCATGTCCACACATTCAGATGCCCCTCTCCATTGGCTTTCCTTATACCTCCATGCACACACAGCCCAAAGTTACTGCCATGCTGTTCAAACCTCCAACTCATCTTGGTGGTGCTTTACCTTGGTCTTTGCTTCTACCACGAGGGCCACGTCTTCAAGACGGATCCCAAATTCTCCATCTTGATAGTAACCAGGTTCTGGGAGACACAGAGATGCCGATGGCATTAAGCAGGAGAAGGACTCAAGCCTGCGCTTTCTGTACTAATTGAGGAGTAGCTAGAGAACACGGATGCCTGGTTGCCCTTGGCTGGTGACTGGGACAGACTCATCACTTGTTAGATGCTCTTTGGCTACCCAGAGGCACCTTCCAAGCCTCAGCTCCCTCACCCTACCTTGTAGCCCAGTAGGGAAGACTTCAGGGCTCACTCGGGTCCTGGATCTCCCTGTGTGCCATTGTCCTGTTACCCCAGCATTTGATAGGGGACTCTGGAGTTTGAATGTACACCAGAAACCAACTCCCAAGGGCAAAATGAGCATATGGGCTGAAGGGGTCTGGGGTTAGGGTGGGACAATCCACTTGTGGCTGGGGATGGGGAGGTGAGGGAGGGCAACAGTGGAGCCCAGGTATATCTGTGCCTGTTATGCTTCCTAGACTGCAGTCCTGGACTAGTTTTAAGGTGGAGAGGGAGGTGCAGCCCAAGAGTCATACCGATGGAAGTGAACATGCCCTTGCCCATGGTAATGCTGCTGGACTGGAATCCCACTGGCCCTGGAAAGGGAGATGTAGGCATGGTATGAGCTCTCCTATACTCACCAGCTTGGAAACTAGCAGACTCTGGGGAACAGCAGGTAACTGAGGACCCCTGGGTGTCTCTAGCAGCATTTATCCACCACATCATTGTCTACCTGGCATTGGTAAAGTCGAGATTGGCTCTGGCTTTTATTTCTGCAGAGTCTATGTCAGGCAGCCACTAGGCATTGACCTGCTGCTCCTCTCTCTGGGGCCCTTCCAGATGCCAGGCAGGCAGCAGGTGTGTCCAGCTGCCAGTATCTCTCACTTACCCTGTGGAGCATCACCTCCCCAACCTTGGATGGGTTACTGCATCTCTGAGGGTCTCAGTCATTTCCGTAACTGTGAAAGGCTCTATCACCTTCAGAAGAGGGAAGACCCCAAGGGAGTATTGAAGAAACACCTACACTCATGCACACACAAGAAGTTGCCAATCCCATGGCCCGTCCCATGACCATAATTGAGCCCAACATTCCACAAGGCTCTGCGGGCAAAGGCTTCTATCATTCGTCCTGGAAGAGAGATGGCCCCTAGTCAGTCAGCTGGAACCCAGACTGTTCACCTTGATCCTTCTTGCTTTCTTGTTTCAGAGCCAATTACCAGGATGGTAATTGTGGAGAAGGACCCCTGAGAGGCAGGTAAGCATGCACTGTCTCCAACACACCTTACATTGTACCCATTACCTGGACTGACGACTCTACTATAATTCCTCTCCATCAATCAAAGCAGCTACTTCCTCCAGGAATCCTCACATGACTGCTGCAGCCCACAATAACCTCCCCCACCTCTGAGCTACCCTTTGATTAGGAGGCAGGAAGCCTGGGTTCAAGGCCCGGCTCTCCCACTAACCCTCTATGTAACCTTGGGCAAATCGCTTTCTCTTTCTGGGTTGGATTTTCTTATCTATACAATATATGGGATGATGATACAATCCCTTCCCCACTGACCATCCCCCCAAGGGTGGTGGTCTGGGTCTAGTGAAATCAGAGCCTAAAGCTCTGGGTCCAGCCTGGTCTCCAAAACCCACCTGATGTAGCAGCAGGAAAGACGAGTCTGGATAGATCGATATTTCCTATCAGGACGCGGGTATATGCCTCCTGATGGGGAGAGGTAGAAGTAATATGGCACATAAGAGAGGACTACTGGGAGTTTCCAGCTGTTTGGCCTGTGTATATACAGGTGTGGGGATCCAAGCCTGTGTATACACAGGTGTGTGGACCCAGGTCTGTGAGGAGGGTGTTGTGGGGGGAGGTGCATACTCATGAGTGGTCACCCAGGTTCTGGAAGATAGCCAGAGGAGGCTGAGGGGGACTTGCCCAAAGCTGGGGCTTGGTTCACTTTGGTTGGTCTACTGGAATGCTTGTAGATGGTAGTAAGCTGAGGCTGTGACAGCAGGGTCTTGGGAGGCAAACTCCCTGGGCTGGAATTCTGACTTTGCCACCCACAATTTTGAGACTTGAGCAATGAACTTTAACCTCTCTGTGCCTCAGTTTTCTCACCTGTAATGGGACAATCACAGTACCAACTCATTATGTTGCTGGGAGGAGTAGGTAGACTTATGCATGTAAGATGCTCCAAACAGAGTAAATACTCAAATTGAAGACAGCACTCTTATTACCATTAACATGATCATCCTTTAGTTTTCTTAAGGCCTTAAGTTTGGGTCGTGGTCTGATAATATGACAGGTCAGCCTTGCTTAGTCAGGGCTGTTACCTTGTGGAAAGAGAAAGGAACGTGGGCTGGCAGTAGCCTCTTTTTCTGGTCACTCCCTGTAGTGATGTGGTGAGTCTCCTTCACACACACACACACACACACACACACACACACACACACACACACACGAGCTTGTCATCTTGGGCACAACAGCTTGGGGCAGCAGACTCAACCTGTTAAACTGTGAGCTCCTTGAGGCCTGACCAGTGTTTCCAGCATAATGTCTGAGCCACAGTCAGCTTGCTGAATGCATGAATGCAGCTCCCTGCTCCCTACCTTCCCCAGAAACCCCCTAGCACACATAGTTGAATTCCCAACCTTTGAATCAGGCAGACCAGCCCTCACTATTTCCTGAAAACCTCCAGCTCCTTTCTACTTCTGAGACTCTGCTTGTGCCATTTCTCCTCCTGGAATGTCTTTCTTCTTCCTTTCTGCTGAACACAGCTAGGCACACAGACAGCACCAAATAAATATTTGTTCATTGATTTACTGAAATAGGATGACGATAAGCTTGGGTACATCTAAAGGGATGCCATTCACTTCATGGTTATGTACTAATTTCAATGAGAGCACACAGGTGGACACACAGATTGTGGAGTTCTGTTGCTGGCCTGAGACATCTCTGGGGAAGTAGCTGGGGACATTGGGTTTGCTGGCACTAACTTGCTGTGTGACTATGGGCAAACCCCTTAACCTCTTTTGGCCTCAGTTTTAGCCTCTATAAAATAAAAAGGTTCTTATTGGAGTGATTTCTTGAATGTCCCTTGAATGAGGGTGGATAGGGGAAATCTGGGTCCAATGCTTACCTTTTGGAAAGCAGAGGGGGTGCCCCAGTGGACTGTTCTGGTGATGTCTGTGGTTCCATCCCTGTGGAGAAGGGAATCAACATGTCCAGCTCTGCTAACACCTATGGGTAGGGATCATGGCCATATGCTTTCTGTGTGTTTTCCACTGGGGTTTGAGCAGCAGGGCTGGGTTGGGGTGAGATAGGTATGAAAGGAAGAAGATGGCTGCCATCATCAAATGCCTATCTTCAGCATCTATGCATGAAGGGGCTCTGCAAAACTATCAAGTTCAAATCACTGTGTTGTTGGGCAATTCTGATTTCCCACAAATATATTCCACCTTCATGCCTGCCCCCCCCCCCCACCGCATTTTGGCTGTTTTGTAAACCTAGGTTTGTTTGGATCAGGCTGGCTCTAAAGCAGGGCTTCTTCTAGGCTTTCTGAGAGGTGGGAAGGGATTGTCTCAGTTTTACAGATGGGGAAACTGAGGTCTAGAGAGGTCATAACACTCACACATTCAGATAGTTATTTACCATCTATAGAACACTTTTGGCAGCTCCCTGGGAAGGACAGTAGAGCAGGATTCATTAACCCCATTTCACAGATGAGGCAGCTGAGGCCAGAGGCTCTCTCCCTCTCTGAGCCTCAGTGAAGCCAGGCCTGCAGCAAGCTCTCACTCTCCACAGTTCTCTCCATTGTAAACATGGATCTGATCCAGAAATTTACTCAGAGTCTCAGTGAACCAAAGCCAGAAGCCAAGAAGTCTGACTCCCAACCACCAGCTACAGCTGTTCCCCCAGGATGGTCCATGTGGCTACTCTTGGGGGAGAAGGAAGAGAAAGAGAGAAATGATCCCAGGGCCTTGGGGACTCCTCCTTGGGAGCAGATCACAGGGTGTAACAAACTTCTTTAGAAGGAGAGAAGAGGAAGTGAGGTGACATTTCCTCGACCTCACCCTGCTCTGGGTGCACCCCAATCCAGCAACACCCCACAAATTGACTTCCCTTTTGCACATTGGCCATCTCTAGTACACACAGAGCCACACTTATGACTAGGAAAGGCTGCTAGGCTGAGTGCCTGCCTCACTGGCTCCCAGAGCTGCACTAAGAACATGCAAAGCACATTTGTCGTTAGCACATTCACCATTGCCACAAGATATAGGACAGCAAACTGTTCGAGACTACTCCTCACTCTTTCATCAGTTCTGGCACCCCTATCTTTTTCCCACTCTAAGCTTCCCATAGTTCACTTGTTTCCTAGATGAGAAGGGGAGATTTTCAAGTTCTTCTTAGCTCAGTTCCTGTGTGAATGATTGATCACAAATTTAGAAAGAATGAGGTTAGCCTATTCTACACGACCATCATATCCGGGTGTTCAGGGTAGCACATCTAAAGGGATGCCATTAACTTCATGGTTTTATAATAATTTCAATGAGAACACACAGGTGGACACACAGATTGTGGAGTCCTGGTGCAGGGGGATAGCACCCTCTTACAAAGGAGAGTGCTCTACATGTGGTTGTGCATGCGCTTAGAACAGCATGCACACATATCTACTCAGAGACACATACTCATGCTGATGGGTGTGCCCTGTCCCAACTGTGCTCTGAGTGTCCCCTGAGGTTGTTTCTCTCACCTACCTGTCGCTTTTAGAGGGCGGATCCTGACCCCATCCTCAACATGACATGTTCACTTTACCCAAGCAGTGGTGAGGGCAGGGTGGGGGAGAGTGCTGAAGAGGATGCCTGGTGCTAGTGGTGAGTGGGCTGTGTCCAAGGTGTGCATGAGTGGGTGGGAATATGGGTGCAGTGTTCACACAGCCAGGCAGGGCTGCTGAGCATGGCTGTTCAGATTGTGTAATAATATGCCAACTTAAAAACATTTTATTTGAGCAAAGGGAGTCTTCCTGATTCTCACTGAGGTACTACATGGGCAGCCACATTGTTTTGGCCTGTTTCCCACTGTGCAGAGACACCTCACCCCCAAGTGTAAAAATGGGAGAGATGCTCAGGCTCATTCAATGCAGGCTTCTCTGTTCTCAGATAAAGAATCCACACCCAGGAAGAAAAATCTTTGGCCAGCCCAGAGTGTTTGAGCTGAGACAGCTAGGCCAGGGCAGGGTGGGGGCTACATACCAGTATTGTCCCCCAGAATCCACCAGGTACATCTCATCTGAGGACAGCTTGCGGTGAAACTCCTTGGTCGGGCTAGGAAGGAGAGACACTGAGAAAAAGAACAGCCTAACCCTGTGCTGGGTGGAGTGGGGGTCCTTATTGAAAGCAGAGGAACTTCCCCATCTCACCCCTGGGGGTTGGGCTTTCAGGTTGACTCCTTTGGAGAAGTCATTATCTCCCAAAGGGCCCTGGGAGAGTACTCAACCTCTGACACTAATGTCTTCAGGGTGCATCTGTTTATCCTGTACTTCATGAGCAAGGCCCTGATCTTCAGAAAGGAGTGAAAGAACCCAGAATGTGGGTGTTGGGAGAGCCTTAGAGAGCATCCAGTGGAGCCATCTCCTTTTATATAAAGAGACACAAGCCTGCAGAGGTCAAAGGGCTTACATGAAGCCACATGGTAAAGCCAGAAGGGAGCTGGGCCTGGACCCAAATGTTTAGTTCAGTGCTCCTCCTCTCACTTTCTGTTGCCTCTGAGAGCAAAGGGCCCTGAGAAGCCAAGGTGCAGGTAGGGTGAGTACCTAAGGACGAGTCTGGAGAGCAAAATTTGGTAAGGCCGAAGAGTTCCTATCCTGCTACTCTCTAGTGGGGAAAAAGGGCTGAGCCAAGGTTTGGGAGACACCAGGGGAGAGAATTCTGGGATAGGCCAGGCCAGCCCTTGGAGGGTATCTAATCTCTCTCTCCCTGCTATGTCCATGCCAGGTTGAGGTATCTATTCAGCTTGGCCCCTCAAATTTCATCAGGTGTTTGCTTTCTATGGAGCCAAACATCTGGCCAGCTTACATCTTGGGCTCACCTTAGTTGTTTCAGGCTGAATGAATGGGCCTTTCTCCTCATGTACTTGTGAGCTTTAAGAATTAACTATTATAAATAACTCACAGGACACCAAGGAAAAGCATCCAGCAGCAGCCCTTCTTCCCTTACAGATCCCTCAGCCCCGAAAGCTCACAAAGCCCCAGCCTCATAGGGGAAAAAGTGCTCAGGTCTTTTAATTCCAAGGAGACTCTCAAACCCCCTACTGGACTCCACTCCCTACCCACAGCCCTTACAGTGCTAAAGGATACACAGGTTAAATATGGACTCAGTTCCAAAAACATTCCTTCCTCCACTTCCACCCTCCCTGCACATATACTGGGATATCCTCCACATAGTCCTAGAAAATTCTTTCTCCTGAAGTACCTGTAGTGGGCCAGGGCAGCATTCAGACCACTAGCAGAGATGGTTTCAAAACTGGGTCCGGAGGAAAACTCTTCTTCCCTGAAAAGTACAAGGCAGGAATGGTCAATGAATGGGCTCAGGGGCTAGGCTGGGCCCAAGATATCTACTAAGGATAAATGAAGGTCATGGTTTCCTCTTCCTCAGCCAGACTATCCCAGCCCTGATTCCATCTTCCCAACTCCCAACATGCCAATAATAGAGCACTCAGGTCAGAGAAGGAGAAACTGTAGATATCAGTTATTCCCTCTCCACCTCCATTTTACAGAAGAGGAAACCAAGATCTGTATGACTCTCAGTGTGTCTGTAGTATAGTAAGAGTGAAGAAATCCCCACCAGCCCCGAAGCAGCATCCTGCACCTCAAACTTACAGTCTGCCTATGGCGTGAGTCAAACATGCCCTCAGGATACCTCCTTCCTCAAATTGACATGCTCAAGTGGTCCAGGGGCCAACAGGCCTTAGCCAGCCTCCCTCAAGGAGAAGAGACTCGTGCCTGAAGCAGACACTAGAGGGCACTTTTGGGTTGTGGCCCTTGAAGTCGTCCAGCTTTCAGCAGGGCCAGATAATGTCATCTATTTCCTGCTCAATGCCGGAACCACCCAAGAACGTGTCACTCTTTGATCCAGAGAGGCCCCCAAATACAAGGAGGATCTTCCTTTCCCCTAAGTAAGGAGACCAAGTTCCCCTCACTGCCCCCACTTCCATATTAAAAGATAATCAACCCAAAAATACAGCCGTGGTCCTTCACCCTCGGAACTTATCCAGCAGCTCTGCCCCAGAGAACTCATCCACTATGCCTTTTGGCACGTTCTTCTCCAGCCAGACCAAGTAGCGGATCATGGGCACGGCATCCCGCACCTGGAGTGGGCCAAGCAGAGAAGCCGACTGAGGAGCAGTCTTCACCAGGCCTCCCAGATGACAAGATCAAGTGGCTGATCTGAGAGCTGAGCTTTAAGAATGTGAGGGTTTCACCAGTTATTTGATGATATTAAGAGATTCTTGTTAATGTTTATTTATATGATCACAGTGTGGTGATGTTTCGAAGAGTCCTTATCTTTTAGAGATACTTAGTATGTGCTGTCAGAAGAAAGGATATAATATTTGGGATTTGCTTTAAGGTCACCCAGCAGCAGAGGATGCAGAGTGGAGATAATGAACATGGGCTTGCAGACAAAACAGAATTGGCCATGACTTGATGTCGGTTGAAACTGGGTGATGGTGCATGGGGATTGTTATGTTATTTTCTCCACCTTTATGTATGTTTAAAAATTTCCATAAGAAGAAGTTTTCTAAAATGAAGTGCTTTATCTGTATTTTAACAAGAATATCCGAGAGTGAGCCCTATTCTTGCCAGGGTGAAGAAATCATTATAGCAAACACTTATTTAACACTTGGAATGTGCCAGGCAGTGCACAAAGCAATA